TGCAAAAGAGCTTAAGGTTCTAAGTGTAGCATGAGTGGCAGGAGACCCATGGACAGAAGTATACACCCTGGATAGCCTACAACGACAGTGTGTGGGGAGGAAACCAAGGGCATGAGAAGTACTGGCTAAGGGGAACTGGAAAAGAGAGGATCTGATTCCACCAGCCAGGAGCACAGCTTGGAGCCTTTGTGTTAGCAAATGTGTACTTTTCGTGTTTCCTTACAGGAAGCATTTGCTGGCTATAACCTGGGGCCAGGGTTACACCACTGCTCGGGCTCCCGAATCCCTTCCTTCTACAGCCTTCTACAGCGAAGGTGTCGTGTCACAGCCTCCAGCTCCCCTTAGCCATTCCAGAGTACAGCACACCCAGCAGACCTTGAGGAGACACCAGAGTCTTTTGAAAATGTTTGAAAAGGGAAGCCCAATAATGACCTGGAGGCAAAGCCAGAAGAACCTCTCTTGACAGAGCTGTGCAAATGGAGACGACTGTCTGTTACCAACTGGTCTGCAGGGCATTTTTCAAAAGGACTCTGCCTCGTCCTTTAATCTGGCAGACAGACATTTTTGGCCTAATACAGCACTTTTCCAACTGAGTTACAACCCATTAGCAGGATGTGAAATCACATGGATTCAGCCAATATTTTTTAATGAAACAGAATAAAATCAAACAGCATAAAATAAGAAACTTAGAGCACATGGTTGGTCATAAGAATAAACATTGTTTTATGAAACTTGTTTCCATGTTAAACATACACACTGCTTGTATACACACATGTGTCTCACTCTCAAATCTGTTTGGTTCCTAAGGAACTACACATGTAGTAAGGGGTCTTACATAATTATGCTTCAATTGGGTTGCCATGGAAATGAGTTTTTTAAATTTGTGGATCAGGATGTGGGATTGAAAATCAATAGTCCAAAGAAACTGTAGCTAAGTAGAGTGGATTTTTTTTAATTGATTCCAAAATAATTTAACACACCGTTCTGCTTTTGTCCTAATTATCTTTCATTTGGTTTCACCGAATTTGTGTGTGGGGGGGGGTGGGGGTGAGGGTGGGAATACATCTAGTTTTGTTACAAACATTCTTTCAATCTTGTACAATAGACAAACAAAAGGTAGGAAATAACTGAAATCAGGACATGGGTTTGGATGCACAGGGCTAAGTCTCCACCACGAAGTAGGCCAGGCCAAATCCTGTCCGTCCTGTGCCAAACAACTGGACAGAGTCTGAACCAGATGCAGGCTCCCTTCTCCCTTGGAAAAGCCATTAAAATGCCAATTTCTCAAATTACTGGGCAAAGAGCCAACCACTCTCTTGGCTATGGAGCCCTGAATAGAATCATGGCCAATTCATATTTTTAAGTAGAACTGAATTTGGTGGTGTATCATGATTTTTGTAAACTTTTTGACAAACTCGATAAATGAAGCAGTATTTTCAAATGTAAGTTTAGAAAAATGTAATTAGTTTGCCTGTCACTCTTAAATAATTCTCCTCATCTCCACCCCCATCCTGGGAAGGAAAAAAAAGCCATCACATGTGCCCTGGTGTAAATGGCTACAGGGACGTAGATCATTGCTGCCAGCACCATTCAGGGACTTCAAGTGGTGACAGCCTTGGGAAATTAGCTCCCTGAAATTCCCAAACATCCTCAGGGTATGTTGTCCTAATGGTTATACTAACGTTCTTGAATTCATGAGTCAGTAGTTTACAACAGATAATTATAATAGAGGAATGACTACTCACAAATTTACTTAATCTAGTGGGGATTGTCTATACCCTAGAACTAACCACAATGGCACCACACAACGCCTGGGGCATTGTTCTCTTAGCATCTTAATGACAGCTGTGTTACTAATGAGTTGAATGTTTCAGCCTTAGGTTCAGGCAGATTTGGCCCTAAACAGAGTAAAGAAAGTCAAGATCTGCAACCAATTGTTTCAAAGTCTCAACCACAGGGAGTAAGCATGCACCT